ATGGTAATGCATGTCAGCATCCTCCACCTTTGGGGTTGGAAGTCACAGGGCATACTTGATTATGTTGTTTTGTAGTGGACCCTAATATTTTCATTTAGAGCAAGTGCTTTCTAGCCTGAAGATAGGAATTAGAATATTAGAATATGTTTGGTAAGATACAGCCTAATAACATAATTGAGAAAAGAATGGAAAATTCAAAACTGATGACTCATTGTGAATAACAAAAGCAAAGACGTTATTAACTATGTGTCCCTTAAAAGACCTTTATAAATAGATTATTATTCTAGTTTCATTTTGCTTAGATGGCACTGTTTCCTTTGTATTAGCCAGCATTGTTAGCATTTTTGAGAAGTCATAGATTTGATGAGGATTTGTGGAGGAGCTGCTGAATTACAGAAGAAATTATTATGGCAGAAAATCAATTATGTGGTGCTATAAATACTTGATTCGGTAACTCAGCAAATTCCCTTTATGTTCACAAGTGCAAACATTTTGTACCTAACTCAAAAGGTCTGTTTTTAATTTCTTCAGCTTTGCAGTTGTTCCACTCTGCCGCTGATAAGAGTTTTACATGATAAGAGAGACATAAAGAGAGGTCACTTTCAGAGGTAGTTTTAAGTGTTAGGGAGATGAAAGCACGGGGATGACCCTCAGTGATAGGCCTGTTTCAGTGTTGATAGCAGGAGATTACCTGGAAGAAGTCAGAAAAAAATCTGGAATGACTTTGGAGTTAGCTGGTTTTATTATACTCTTGAGTGACATTTCCAGCTAATAATATTAGAAATAAAATTATAATCTTAGAAGAGAGCCTCTAGGAAATATGTAGTTAGCCTTTTGGAATTTTACAAGTATTGTATGTAACTCTAATACCTATATTTAAGGTGCTTTCACCTCACATTTGAATTGATGCCAAGATGTCCAAGACATGGTCTCTGCCCTTAAAGGCGATTAAGAGAGAAATTATATGTACACAGATTTTTAAAAATTATTTAGGTTTAATTAATAGTATAATGTTTGTTTTTTAAAACCTAATTTTTGGCATTTTAAAAATATTTTTTATCTCTTAATGAACATACAAAAATAGTAACAACATAGGAACTTATTTAACATACTTTCCCTTATGAAACAGAGTTTTGTTTTGTTTTGTTTTGTTTTGTTTTGTTTTGTTTTGTTTTGTTTTTTCTGGAGACGGAGTTTCGCTCTTGTTACCCAGGCTGGAGTGCAATGGCGCGATCTCGGCTCACCGCAACCTCCGCCTCCTGGGTTCAGGCAATTCTCCTGCCTCAGCCTCCTGAGTAGCTGGGATTACAGGCACACGCCACCATGCCCAGCTAATTTTTTGTATTTTTAGTAGAGACGGGGTTTCACCATGTTGACCAGGATGGTCTCGATCTCTTGACCTCGTGATCCACCCGCCTCGGCCTCTCAAAGTGCTGGGATTACAGGTTTGAGCCACCACGCCCGGCCAGAGTTTTTTTTTTTTTAATCTACCTTAGGCTGGGCGTGGTGGCTCACGCCTGTAATCCCAACACTTTGGGAGGCTGAGGTGGGCTGATCACAAGGTCAGGAGTTTAAGACCAGCCTGGCCAACATAGCGAAACCCCTTCTCTACTAAAAATACAAAAAATTAGCCAGGCGTGGTGGCAGGAGCCTGTAATAGCAGGAGAATCACTTGAACCCAGGAGGGCATTGAGCTGAAATTGCACTATTGCACTCCAGCCTAGGTGACAGAGCAAGACTGTCTCATAAATAAATAAATAAATAAATAAATACTCTACTTTGATGATCTTTGTTGTCATAGAAATACTAACACTTTATATTGTTATTGTGACTGCTTTTTATCTTGTATAAGCCTAAGAAAGGTTCTAGTATAGCATTTCAGCACATTCTAGAGCAAAAAAATAGTCCTAAGTGTAATACAAAGTAGAATGAAATAAATGTTAAAGAAGTATAAACAATGTTCTAGGCCAGGACAGTGGCTCACACCTGTAATTGCAGCACTTTGGAAGGCCTAGATGGGTGGATTGCTTGAGGTCAGTAGTTTGAAACCAGCCTGGCCAACATGGTGAAACCCTATCTCTATTAAAAATACAAAAATTAGCCAGGCATGGTGGTGGGCACCTGTAATCTCAGCTACTCAGGAGGCTGAGGCAGGAGAATTGCTTGAACCAAGGAAGCAGAGGTTGCAGGGAGCCCACATTGCCTCACTGCACTCCAGCCTGGGTGACAGAGCAAGACTCCGTCTCAAAAAACAACAGTAACAACAACAACAGCAACAAATTTCTACATAAGATAGCATCATAGGGCAGGGCACCGTGGCTCACGCCTGTAATCCCAACACTTTGGGAGGCCAAGATGGAAAGATCACGAAATCAAGAGTTCAAGACTAGCCTGGCCAACATGGTGAAACCCCATCTCTACTAAGAATACAAAAATTAGCCAGGTGTGGTGATGCGTGCCTGTAATCCCAGCTACTGGGGAGTCCGAGACATGAGAATCGCTGGAACCTGGGAGGCAGAGGTTGCAGTGAGCTGAGAGTACACCACCGCACTCCAGCCTGGGTAACAGAGCAAGACTCCATCTTGAAAAAAAAAAAAAAAGATAGTGTTGTATTCTGCCCAGGCTGCACAGACTGGGTGATTTAACAACAGAAATTTATTTTCTCAAGATCAAGGTTCCAGCCAACTCACTTTCTGGAGAAGGCTCTCTCTCTGTTGCAGATGGCTGCCTTATCACTATGTCATGTGGCCTTTCTTCAGTATGTGGGGAAAGGGGAAGAGAGAGCGAGAGAGCAAGCAAGTGAGCAAGAACAAGCTCTCTGTCTCAGGATACTAATCCTGTTGGATCAGGGCCTCACCCTTTTGATCTCATACAATCTTAATTACTTCTTTACTACAAATATGACTACACTGGAGATTAGAGTTTCAACATATGAGTTTGAGGGGGACACAAACATTCAGTTTATAACAGATGGTAAATAAATGGTAAATAAAGAGGGAGCAACCAGGGAGGGCATTTGAAAGAGGTAGTATCTGACTAGGCTCTTGGAGAATGGATTTTAACCATTAGATATTGAAAGGAGGGATTCCAAGTAGATGAAAGAGCTTGACCAATGTCATAGCAGGGAGAAATGAAAGAGTATGTTCAGTACGCATTCAGCTAATTCACCTGCGCGATACACCTCTAGGAGTGAATAGTATTCAGGAAGTTGAGAAAGGGAAGATGTAACTAGATTGTTGAATACCTTGTAAAACATCCGTTGCTGGCTTCAGCACCCATCTATCTAGCCATATGACCCTTGTGTTTCTTTACTTCTGTTTATCTCAGCGTCCCCATGTATTAGTAGAAAAGAAATCTCTGAAGTTTGTTCTAACTCAGTGAGTCTACACTTGTGTTTGTCTACACTATGTGTTTGTGTGTACTTTCACATTTGTGTCTTACACCAGCAGATGTGCAGTTTCTGCAAATGTTTGATAATAGGTAGAAAAATCTATTTTGGCTTTCTAAGTTGAATTTCAATTTCTCCCACCCCTCCATGAATTGGGAACCTTAATTCAGCGTATTTCAAGCACCCAACCTGGACCTTGCAGGGAGGATAGATTAGGCAAATACAGAAGATATATGGCTTCCCCTGCCTTGTTCCGTACCATTTTTCTGACTTCACTGGCCCTGTTACTTTCTCCTGCTTTTGACTTCATTTCCCTCATACCTGGTCTTTCTACCCTGTTATGGAAACTTAACCCCAAAGCCTTCTTTCATATTCAGTTATAGACAATTGGGTGAAGGTCTCCTCAAGCCTGCAGTAACGTTTGCTTTTTATTAGGAAGTAGGCCTTCAACTATGCAAATGAATCATAAATAGCAAACTTCTAGACATTAATAAATAGAGAAGCTAGTAGGTAGAAGGAAGGGGGGTTTTATGATGTTCCTAAAAGCCTTAGAAGTGGAGCTTGAAAACCATCTTCAGTCCCAGAACCATTTAATGTAACTTTATATCTATTTATTCTTAGCACTGGACCTGTCTTGGTTATTTTTAGCCAGACAATTACTGCTGTTTACTCATTTTCTAGAATTCTAGGCATAATTATTGATTTACCCATACAAATACTTGGAGAACTTTGACCCAGGCCATATAATTTGATAGAAAATTCTTCCTCCTTGGAAGTGGTCACTAGATAAACAGCTTGTCTCTCATTCTAGAGGTTCAGTCTTAATGAATCTTTCCAAAATAAATAAGCTCTAGAATTAAAGTTGAAGAGCTGTTTTCCTCAGAAGCAGAGGCATATTTCTCCTTAATAAATAAATGTTCTTATAATCACCTTAATATGCTTAGTTTTTCTTCCAATAATAGATTGGTCTCCTTCTTTCTCTTCATACAGTTTTTTTTACTTTTTGTACTATTGGCTCATCAAGCTTGATAGGTTAGTCTACTTTTATCAAATGCATATGCCAGTCAAGAGTTGTTATTTTAATAGTAAACTTAAACTAGGAGCTTAGGTGACTCATCTGATAATATTCAGTAAGTCAGAGGCTCTTCAAGGCGCAACCCCGTATTTACTTCTTTGTGGCCTCCACTTTGTGTAGGCACCACCTCAGTGAATCACACTGGCTGGCTGTCACTCATTCTCAGAAGACCACAGCATGAAAATAAAACCCTTAGAAAGTATAGGCACTGAAGTAACTTTTACAGTTTAAAGGCACCTACGATTGACTGTATCATGAAGGCAACCTGCAATTTGAGTCTTTATTTGGTCATTGACAAGAGTCTTAAGTTTTTTAGTCAAAACTTCAGTGAAATTTAGAAATTTGGGCCCCAAGATATTGACTTTCTTGTTTATATGAAATGCTGTTAAGACTTTGCTGTTTGTAACTATGATAATTTTTTAGGGGTCTCTGGAAAAGTTGAGTAGATAGAAACTAAGGAAGGAAGAGATGTACTGTAAAACTATAATTCAATAGTACTGTGATTTCTGCCTTCATGTAGTAAGAAGTGGAAAGTAGTATAAGGAGATCCGAACCTTCTCAGCCTCTTTGCAGAGAATCAAGACTAAGACGTGGAACAGTGGACTTGAAAGCTGTGGCAGCTCCAACTACGGAGGAGCCAGTGGCTACACACAGTCCCCATGGGACTTTGGATCGTCCAGACCTTCTTAGGCCAAAAAGAAACCAAAAGCCTCAGCCCAGCACATTGTGCCCTGTACTGTATCTCAGCTGCTTTCTGCCACTTTGGTTGATGAAGTGTTCAGAATTGGGAATGTTGAGATTTCACATGTCACTATTGTGGGGATCATCAGACAGGCAGAGAAGGCTCCAACCAGCATTGTTTGCAAAATAGATGACATGACAGCTCCACCCATGGATGTTTGCCAGTGGGTTGACACAGATCACGACAGCAGTGAAAACACTGTGGTTCCTCCAGAAACATATGTGAAAGTGGCAGGCCACCTGAGATCTTTTCAGAATAAAAAGAGCCTGGTAGCCTTTAAGATCATGCCCCTGGAGGATATGAATGAGTTCACCGCACATATTCTAGAAGTGATTAATGCACACATGATACTAAGCAAAGCTAATAGCCAGCCCTCAGCAGGGAGAGCTCCTATCAGCAATCTAGGAATGAGTGAAGCAGGGAACTTTGGTGGGAATAGCTTTATGTTAGCAAATGGCCTCACTGTGGCCCAAAAACAGGTGTTGAATTTGATTAAGACTTGTCCAGGACCTGAAGGGTTGAACTTTCAAGATCTCAAGAACCAGCTGAAACACATGTCTGTATCCTCAATCAAGCAAGCTGTGGCTTTTCTGAGCAATGAGGGGCCTACCTATTCTACTGTGGATGATGATCATTTTAAATCCACAGATGCAGAATAACTGGATCTAACTCGATGCCTGAGATACTTTACAGCTGGACCTAGTTTCACAGGTCTCTTGTCTGCAGCTCTGCGTGTTTGGTCAGGTGGCTTCTAGGAAATAGGTTTCATGTATAAAAGGTCTCTACTGACGTCCTTTTGAAACATACTGCCCTTCTGTTTTGTTTTGTTTGAAGTTCAAAGGGAGATGGACAATTGACAGGAATGCAATCCAGGGCGGGATTTCTTGAGGAAGTTACAAATAAGCTTGTTAGAACATCGAGATAGATGGAATTGGAAGGACACTACCAGGAAAGTACTTAGTGCTTGGGAGTTTCTCTTTTTAAAATATTTTCTGCTGAAAGAAGATGAGCAGGACCAGGGCCTTATAGGCAGAGCCCTAACCAAGTAACCTGCTGACCTCTGCCTGTTTTCGTTTCCCAGTTTGGCTGTGTGGCATTACTTTCTGAATTGCACTTTCCTGCTTGTCATGACTGCTGCTTGTCATGACAATATGTTTCTGTGAACATGAAGTTCTGTGGTGGTACCTCCAGGGGCACAGGAAAGGAAGTGTTACTGCATTTTGTACAAAATAAATACATTCACATGTTTAATAAAACAGTTCTATTGTAGTAACTTGTAAAAAAAAAAAAGAAAAGAAAAGAAAATAGCATAAGGAATAAGTTTTTACTTAGAGTCACTATTATGTACTTGGCAATAAAAATTTAAGTTAAAAATCACTTAGAATTAGAGCTTCCTAATTGTGTTTTTCCTCTAGATTCTCTTTGTCATAGAGTAGTCTCTCAGATAGTAATAATAATGTTATCCGGATTTAATCAGAGGATTTAAACTCTAAAGTTCAGTCACACAAGGAAAGAAATATGCTCTTTCAAGGGGCTTACCTTTGTCGTTTCCTTAAATCCTAATAACAGTGCTGACCTACTAAATGAAAAACCTTTGGAGCTAAATGATAGCCAGCTTTCTAGGTATATGCCACCTCAATGCCCATGCAGATCCCTAAAACTGCTCACTGTTCCTCTACTGAGGCAGGTGCTTCTATTTTCCAGAGTTATCTATGACTGCTGTTGTACCATGACCTTGTGCAGCTGTGCTGCTGCCCCCACTATCCCTTGAGCCCCTGGCTGCTGCTTCTGTTTGCTAAATACATATTAAGTGGATCTTCTCACCTTCACATGGTAGAGCTACCCTGAAATGAAGTTAGCATCATACATCATAACGTTCTTAGCTTTGTTTCCATAGTATATCTTCTGAATTGTCAGACTGTGGTGAATGACTATAACCACCATTTGTGGTTGTGAACCAATATTTTTATACTGTACTAATCCATTTCACTTTAAACCTTTGTAACAAACTACATAGAGCATTTTTTAGTAATTGTTTTGAACTCCCTGAGAAAACTCAACAAGTCCTAGAAAGGCAGTTTTCCTTTCACCTCTGATAAAATGGAATCCAAGACTCCTTAGCATCATAAAAACACATTTTTAGAGTGCCTGATCTGTTATTTTTATTCAGAACAATATTCTGTTCCATCAGCAGAGGACTTATGCTGTTTTGAGCAAACATATAGCCTCTTTGTATTTGTTCCTCCATCTCTGAAATCTCCCAAGCCTTGGACATTGGCACCAGTAATTGTCAGTTCCTCTTCCATCCTCACTTGTTATACCTTGTTATAAATTTGCAATTCCCTCACTCTATATCTAATTTTAAAACAATTTGCTTAGAATAATGCCTTTGCTTCAGGAGAAATTGTGCCAGTACTAATGAACAAGGAGAAAGAGATAGTGTAGATCATCTACTTTGAGTGGTAAAAGCCCAGGGAACAGCCTCTTTTGAGTTAGATTTTAGGTAATGGCTATATTTACAGAAAACTATCCTAATGGAAGAGGTAAAAGCATAAGAGATTGAGACCAAATCAAAGACTTTCAATATCAGCAAAACTTTACAGTATCACTGTTAATTTTCAATTTCATCTAGGGTTAAAACCTAGACATTTCAAGTTGCAAATCTTATTTTTGTCATTTTCCTGCCATGGTAAATACAGTAAAAATAAACACCATCAGCTTTTGTTTGAGGGTTTTGTAGGACTTTCGGTTCATAAGTTCTCACATAGGAACAAAGATTCAAGCAGTAAAGATTCAATAGACTGTGTTACATCTTAACTTCAGCCTACATATTCTGGAAGATTTGGAGTTTAAATTTGTTAGTTTTCTGAAATTTCTAAAGTATTGGTGATGTAGGAGTTTTCTCAGCCCCTTTTTCAGACTTGTGACAGGGGCAAACGTTTATTCTGCCTTCTGTGCTCAGCCCCTTGCAGGTGGGAGCATGTGAGCAAACAAGTGTAGCAGGCTCCAGCTGGCTGCTCCAGGTGTGGGCAGGAGCAAGTTCCAGGCAGGGCCCACAGCCAGAGTAGGTGTGAGCAAGCAAGTGCAGGATCTAGTTGGCTGCTCCAGGCATCAGCAGGAGCAAGCTACATGCAGCAGCGCCCAGGTGATGGGTGCCTGTGACCTTGAAGCCCCAGAGGGGATGTTACAGTGCTCCTTTAGTTCTGCCGTCCGAAGACGGATTTGTGTTCACAGCTCAGTTGGCCTCTGCGGGCAAGGGCAAAGGGTGCAACAGCCTTTTTGGGTACCCGCACTTGGTGGGTCCTGAGTTCTTGTCCAGCATGCAAGAAGAAAGAGGTCACACAGTCATTTGAAGGATGGTGAAGGCAGAGAATTTTACTGAGTGGTGGAAATGGCTGTCAGCAGAGAGGGGAGCTGGAGAGGGGATAGGAAGGGCAGGTAGTCTTCTCCAAAGTCAGATTGTCTTCTCCCTGAAATCCAGCCATCTATTCCCCAAAGTCAAGCTATCTCTTCCCCTGAGTCTGGCCATCTCTCCTCTCTACCAACTGAGTCTGGGGTCTTTATAGGCACAGCATGGGGGTGGGGTGCCCTGTAGATCATTTTGGAAAAAGCAACATTAGACTGGTAAAAAGAAATTACTCGAAGAACCAATCGGGAGAGAGCGGACAAACAGGAATAGAAGTTTTCACTTTGGGCTGCAGGTTTCAGGCTACTTTGGCTTGAAGGTGAGGTTTCACCAGGGATCTGCCCCTGTCTGCCTCAGCATTTGGCTGCCTCCTGCTGCTCACCTTGGGAGTAAATACTATAACTATGGCTGCTAGACAGTGAAGAGCTCTGCATGACATAACAGAGATGTTTCTAAGTCATTCAAGAGCTCACAACTGTGTAAAAACAGAATTCTAAGATGGTGAAAGAACTTTTAACAGCGGCTTCAAGGTTATTGTAATAGTTATTAACCTATCCACCAACTTAATCTAAACATATTTCTTTTTTTCATCTCACTTCACTTTTAAAACAAATTTTGAAAGAATATGCTTCTTTGAAAAGTGAATAAAGAAGTTATTTTCTATTTAATTTTTATTTGATATGTAATAACCACATTTTAAAATGTTGTCTAATTTAAGGCTTTTTAGATAATATAGGTATACATTTCAGAAATGTAAAGATTACAGTTTATTACAAAAATAGGTTTCTGTTCTTTTATGATATACTTTTCAGACAATTACGTTGAACTCTTTAGAGGTTTCTTTTGGTATTTGGCTTAGCATTTCTTTTTTTTTTTTTTTTTTTTTTTTTTTTGAGACGGAGTTTCGCCCTTGTTACCCAGGCTGGAGTGCAATGGCACGATCTCGGCTCACTGCAACCTCCGCCTCCTGGGCTCAGGCAATTCTCCTGCCTCAGCCTCCTGAGTAGCTGGGATTACAGGCACATGCCACCATGCCCAGCTAATTTTTTGCACTTTTTAGTAGAGACGGGGTTTCACCATGTTGACCAGGATGGTCTCGATCTCTCGACCTCGTGATCCACCCGCCTCGGCCTCCCAAAGTGCTGGGATTACAGGCTTGAGCCACCGCGCCCGGCTTGGCTTAGCATTTCTAAGTAATATACTTTTACGGCTGTTTCTTAAATTTACAATGTTAGACATTATGAATTGACTTGGAATATGAAGATTTAGGTCTCTTACCACTACCCATCCTCTTATAAATTTCTCCTTTCTTCCTTTCCTTGCACACACACGCCCCACCTATTAAGAAGTCCAATGCCATTCTGATTTATAATCCTTTGTGTGTTGCCATTTTTATGTCTGTGCATCCTTATGTGATTTCCCTTTATGGATTAAGTATTTATAATGATACGCCTTGATATAGGTCTTTTTCATTAATTGTGCTAGGCATTAGATGGCTCTTTTCATTTTGAAAATCTGTGCACTCTGGTTCTGGAAAATATTAAAATATTCTTATTTGATTATTTTTTCTTCTCAATTTTTTTTTTGTTTGTTTCTCTTTCTTGAACTTCTACTAGCTGGATACTAATAGGACTAATACTCCAATTTTTTTCAAACTTTTTTTTTGAGGGAGAATTTCGCTCTTGTTACCCAGGCTGGAGTGCAATGGCGCTATCTCGGCTCACCACAACCTCCGCCTCCTGAGTTCAGGCAATTCTCCTGACTCAGCCTCCTGAGCAGCTGGGATTACAGGCACGCGCCACCATGCCCAGCTAATTTTTTGTATTTTTAGTAGAGACAGGGTTTCACCATGTTGACCAGGATGGTCTCGATCTCTTGACCTCGTGATCCACCCTCCTCAGCCTCCCAAAGTGCTGGGATTACAGGCTTGAGCCACCGCGCCCGGCCCTTTTTCAAACATTTTGTTGTAAAAGTTTTCAAGCATACAGAAAAATTGAAAAAAATTTCGCAGTGAACATCCATCAACTTGCTACCTGGAGTCTAGCATTAACATTTTTTTCTGTCTTTTCTTTATATATACCTATTTATTTATTAATCCATTTTAATTTTTATGTATTTCAAGTAAATTGTAGTCATTATGTAATTTCATTATTCCAGTGTCCATATCATTTACTAGAGTTTGTAACTAGAATTGTAGCTAGAGTTTACATTTTCTTCTTTTGAGATAAAATTTACATGCAATGAAATGTATAA